TATATGCTCATTTCTGAGCGAATAAGACAAGGAGAGAGTTCCTTATATAGTCTCAGTCAGAGTGAACCGTACAATGTACGACTTATTGATAGAGAAAGAAAAAAAAATTTGCTTACTTATCTAGATAATATTTATTTCTTGTCATGGCACACAATAAGGTTTTGTTCTATTCACTAATTTATAAAAAAGTTGAAATCAAACTTTTTCGTTTTGTTGAAACAAGCTGATGTGCCTTTATAGAGATCCACAAGATCTATTTGATCTAATCCTATTCTCAGGTGCTCATTTGAAATTTTCTCGGCCATGAATTCAATCTATGAGTGAATGATAATGAAACTGTTTAACTGTATGTTCTAACATAATCATAATTTCCTTTCATCATAATATACTTTTCACATTGCCATTGATGTCCTATGGCATTTTCTGTGCTGTCAAAAATCCTGAAAAAAACGATGATTGAAGCTACAGATCAAAAAGACTGCCTACAAATCTTTTTCCTTATCCGCTGGCTTCAAATATATTTTCAAAGCTGCCTTATAACTGGTGACATAATAACAAAATTCAAGCCCAACATGAGTGTTCAATGAAATCTGTCCTAGTTGAAAAGAGAATGTTCCGGGACCCCTCACATAAGCATAATGCCCTTCTTTAGTCATATTATATTAAGTTGTTTTGAAGAAAACCAAGATTACCTAGTTTGTCTCTGATCCCTGCACTGAAAGATCCTTCAGCTTTGCTACTCGTTTTCCATCCCGTTCCTTTTAGCTTTTGAACGCAGTTTTCATCTTCGAAGTTACAGCGGATGTTACGACAAGTGTTCTCATCTATGGTAGGCGGTGTATCAACGTGTGGAACTGCAAAACTCATGCATGAACCTTTAAATAAGTCAAATCATTATTATACTCATAGCGCATTTATAAATAGCAGAAGAGTTGTATGATATGTCATCCAAGACTGCCATCCCACCTTCTTTGCCAAAAGTATCGAATACGAAGTTATATGCTTCAATAACTATCTGAAATCACCTTATCCCTAAGAACTGTTATTCTATTCTCTCTAACCTCAAACGTGTACAGGATACTACCAGGAATAGTTACTTGCGCTGGTTTTGTACCATTTCTTGTTACTTTTTCGCTACACCAGTCGTACTGTTTCCCTCTAGATGGTTGTCTATCAAATTCATGAGCACAATTTTTGTCGATTCGGGTTACCGGATACAAATACGTATATGAACGCTCGGAGTCGTCCAATGCCTCAGCGTTACAATACCATCCCCTTGTTGGCATTGGATTGGGTCTGATACAAGCATGGCAGAATAGTGTTCAGATAACATTTTTTTCTCTGTTCCAACTATCAAAAAGAATCCATCTGAAAACTTTATCAGTTCCTCACTGTTTTGGAAACTTTACCAGGAGTATCTTGCTTGGAAAATAAAAACCCTCCTTCATCCTTGTCCCATCTGCCTCGCATGCGCATGAAATCGAGCTCATCTCCTGAACAGCCGTTGTTCTCGTTTCTCCACCTACTCATAAGACTTAAAAGTGAGCTTGATTACAAAAAACACCCACCGGCAAGGTTTTGTTAGAAACGAGTCAAAATCATAGCATTCAAGATCGCATACATCCGAAATAACAAACTGTCCAAATGGCGAAGCTGAAAAAAAAGAAACAATGATCTGTGAACTGAAGAATGAAATACAGTATTTGTATTGCGGAAACCACAAATCAACATCTGTGTGACCACCTAGTGTTTCTGAATGAAGCAATTGATTAAGTTTATAATGAAATGTCGAAACTTCTCAGGCTTTGTAATTGTTGGCTAAAACTAGTTACGTCAACTATATTATCTGATGAGCATTTTTCTAGAAAGAACGCTATATTTCAGAAAAGAAAAATATCATCAAAAACTCACTCGCACTAATATAATTTAATAAGTTGAGAATAAATATAATAATATACTTCTTCCGTGTAAAATAGTTAAAATGCATGAGTTAGAAAAAAAATTATCATCGATTTCTTATATGAGGTGTGAAAGAAAAAATGATGTGAGTAATACTAAGCTTCTCTGAAAAAGCTTTATCCCAGACAGGAAAAAAGCTCTCTTCAAGGACATTGCTACAGTGAAAGGACAGAAGAAAGTAGATTTTGAGGAAAAACTAGAACACACTGTTTCATTTATTGGAATATCCAAGAAGAACAAGCTTTGTTTGCCAAACACATCATGGATCCCTTTACTGAATCGGAGAACAAAATGGGACCGAGATTTGCCATGAACATGGCTATGTTACACTCAAAATAATGAGTGACCTCTTCATTCTCACCTATATAACAGTTTTCTATAGAAAATTGAGGTCATCTTCATGTTTTTCGATTAATCTGAACTTCGAAGTGTGTTACAATAATTCCCGGGAATAATAAATGACTGAAAATGCTGAATGCAGTAATCAGAAAGCACAAAATTAAGATTAGCATCCAATAGATAGCGTTGGTACTTGACTTAGCCAGACTATAATAATACTGAGAACCTATTCACATGAACACTGTCATGTCGACATGACAAACCTAAGAAACGTAAAGATGCAAACATTGTGGAAGATATCGTTCATAATAGAGGCCAAACAACAATAGCTTTCCAATTTTGTTTCTTTAAATGCATAAGACGGAATCGGACTTGCGCCAGAGAGCATTAAATTCCATTTTTCCAAACCTGTATGAAAAATGATGAGCATGAAAGAATGTCTGAAGAACGTTGATCACTGTTGTACTACCCTTTTCAGAGAATGACTCTTCATCTAACTACCATTCACGGATTGTTGAGGTACTATTCCCGGAGAGAGAAAGTAGGGCTATTATACTGCTACGCTATGTAGAAAGTGGAATGGAAGAGAATGATTCAAAATTTTTAAAGAACGGTTCTCATATTTGATACGCACGCTGGAGCTTCACGAGCGAGGGTCAAAAAAAAGGAACAACAATTTTGACCTCCCTGGAAGTAAGTAGAAGTGATTCCAAACAGGCCCCATGATGATCGAATACTTTTCTGATCGTCTTATTGATTAAGTTGGTTTTCATTTTTGTTCGTAGATGTTTGTTTCTTAGCGTTCAGTTAGATCATGTTTTATTCGAGTAAAGTTTTTAATACTAGAAGAGTTTGTACGTAATAATAGAGAATTTGAGACTTCCCGAACAAAACCTTCGCCATTCATTTGACTCTTTTACAGTCAGCGATTTTATATTTCGATCAAAGTGTTCAATCGTGCTTTTGGAGATATAATCAAATAAGTGATTCGTCCATCAATTATTCCCATCTTGCGCCCACTCCAGCTTTTCTCTGAAAAAAAATGTTCCACAATTTTTCGAACTATGTGGTATTGTGTTATCATTCTATTGTTAAGTCTTATCGCTATGTATTTATATGGCCTCATGGAAATAATTTTTTTTTCTCCGAAATCGGTTTTGAACATTGTGAAAACCATGTTCGATCGTTTCCTTTTTCCACTCCACATATGGAAGTGTGAATCTGCAGATCTCCGAAAATACTTTTCATTGTTTCATCCTCCCCCTATCCAACAACAATTTTCTTCCAAATATCTTCACTTTTTTTCCATTAAAAACATTGATTTTTATTTTTCAACTTTTTTTTTTCATGAAAACTCGATTGAGGTCAGCGCATTCGGAGAAGTTTTCAACATGGTTTTTGACATGTTATCGTCGTGATTGTTCATATTTCAAACGATTGCTCATCACATTCCCTATGGAGTCATTTTTCCTTGTTCGACGATCAACAAAATACGAAAGTCTTTATAACACAAGCATATTTGTGTTAAAATTTCTTTTCTTATTATATTAATGAAAAAAAACATAAATTGTTTACATTCCCTCATCAATCGTCATCATTACCTTGCTTTTCTAAGCACGGAACTACTGTGAGTGAGAGATAATATTGATGACAGAGGTCACTTCTAAATTGTTTTCTTTCTATATTTTTTTTCAAAATCAGAAAGTGACATGAGCTGCCTTGCCAAGTTGAAGCTTTGTTTCGCTCACTTCGAACAAAGCTAATTGCCGTGTTGTGCTTTGAGCAAATCTCAGACGACGTCACATAAGCTTGATTACAGGATGTTCTTTTTGCAATAATATGTCTGCTTAATGGCTTCCGATACAACTCGAGTTTGTTCCGACAACCTGCAGAAAATGAACTTCTCAATTTCAAACCAAAAATAGGAAGACATAGATTAGAAAAAAAGCCAACCTCGAGGTTTGATTTGTTGAAAAGAAAGATTAAAAGCATAAATAATAACACGAACAAACCGGAAACCGTTTGATCGGCCGGTTCATTTGAATTTTGCTCATTAATCGCTTAATTCACGTGGAATGCGTGAACAGTTGTTTGTCAATCTTCTTATTTCATTTCTAGCTTGAGGCGTGCACTGAGCGGTCGCATTCTTTTATTCATTCACTTCATTTTCTCCTTCTATTATTTCCACCCCCTCTCCCTCTCTCTTTCTATTCACTTCTGTCAAGTTCTCAAACGAATCATTCGTAAAGGAGGATTATATCAATGAGTATGAAGAGAGAATGGTTGAGTGTCTTTTCAGGTGTAAATACAAATGGAGATATTATCATCAAGTTCATTCAACTATAATTAATAGAAAAAGCTTGTCTGTAATGAAACAATGCATCTCTCAAACGATAGTCAATACATGATTTATAATAAATTTATCCATAAATATTAAATTCTTTTTTTTACCAATTTTTGAAAATTAATTTTTATCTCGCCTTCTTCCTCTCTCTCCTTCTCTTCAAGTTTCCTGAAGTAACACTCAGTAACTTTTACCATTGTTATTAGAGACGATTTGATTTTCAATAGCATTATATGAGCATGTCATGATAGCAGTAAAGGATTGTCCTTCTAATCCTATAATGATAAATGCTTACTCAGCTTTTGACATATTCAAGCTTTCACACTCAACAGAAGTTGTTCTGATAGCATCTGATTCCATGCATGGATTACTTAAATGTCGCAACCCATTTGTAACCACATGAGTCTTTGGAAGGATCAACTTTCTTTTTATTAAAACCCAATCTGCTCTTCTCGTTTCGTTTCGTTTTCTTATTTTCATTTTCACTTGTTATATTGGAGTTTTCTGCCATTATAGAAAATTTCATTTATTTTTGAGATTAGAAACATTTATTTTGGAAACAAATATTTCATGAATTCACACTGATTGGTGCTTTTCCTCATCTTTCGGTCTCCTTCCTATTCTCTTCTTCTTCAGTCTTCCTCTTGCAAATGTGTTGTCTCTTCTCTAAATGATACTTCTGTGATTTTTTTTCTCTATTCTCTCAATAGTTATGCATCTCTATCTTCCTTCATACCCTTTTTCTTTAACTCTTTTTCTCCTTTTTCCTTTCTCATAACCTCAAGCTCTTAATTTTAACTTTGTTTGTGGCAAACATCACATCATTCAATGAAAAAGTCAAAATACAGCTTTGTTGTGACTTTTAAATATTTTAGTAAGAACTAACCCACATTGAAATAATCAGAAAATAAAAGAAAAAATATTTATATTCCCAGCTTCCCATTTATTTGAGCCTTCTTCGTCTATGTGAGTATTTGTATGCTTCACATAAAAATGTGCTTAACCTCTCTCATAGTTCGTCCAAAAATTGTTGGATCTGTCGATTTTTTGACATAAAGCCGCCTTTTGAAGTCTTTTGTTAAACTTTTTTTGCCATCCAGAAAGTGCCTTTTCTAATTTTGTCGGTACACCTTTCCTCACATATTTTTGGCTTTATGAAAAAGCTTTATTATTTCACTTTGCTTTTCTCATTCTCTCAATCTTCCTTTCTCTTTCATTTCGTTTCTGAATTTTTTCACTTTCATTTCTATTTCTTTAAATGCTTTCCCTCTACTGCATCAACTATTTACCTACCAAGTTCTTTTTCATTTGTCATTTCCTTATTCAAAAAGTATTTTTGGCCATTTATACACCGTCGTCAACTCTCTGTTGTTGTCATTTTCAAATGTGCCGGAGAACATTTGAATTGACCAGCAAAATGACTTCAAAAGAATTTTCGTTATTACATAAACATCAAAAAAATGGCATGAAAAAAAGATGAAAAGAAACATAAAAAGAGTGGCTCAAGTGGTCAGATTGCTGGTCTTGGCTCCAGCAAGAGGAGAGAAGCTTTTTCGGGGCCGAGCATTTCCGTTTGAAAATCTCTGTCTCCAACGAAGGCTATGACCTGCTTGGCACAAGACTGAAACGACCAAAAGACATCTTGTGTGAGCTTCACGGTCTGCGTTTCCTTTTGGACTTTTCATCGTATAAAAAGCTTCAAGTCTGAAAGATTCGTCTGGTAGAAAAGAGAAGAGAAAGAGAGAAAGACTAGCTACCATGTGTCTAAAAGCTTGTCTTTTATAATAATTGCATCAATATTATGAAGCATTGGAGCTCTATTCATGGACTGAGATCTCCTAAAAAAGAATTTTTAGTCAATTTTGGTAATTCTCAATTGTATATATCTTTGAAGCTTCTCTTCTTCTATTAGCTAATACCCCACACCTTTGAAAGCCAAATATCATTTGAAAGTTTCACTGCTTAGTTGGATATCTTCATTTTCTGTATTGCTTATTACGAGTACAGTTGATGATATTCCTCAAATCTTCAACTTGAGAACATTAACAATGATTTTATTGTTTATTTAGCTTAAACCAAATCCTTTATTAGACTAATGGCTCATTATACTCATCGATGTCCCA